GAAGGAACGGGCTTCACCACCAAAGCACTAGCGCTATAGTGTAGAATTACTTCGCATTAGTTTCCTGTGCATCAATTGTTCAAAAAGATATTTTATAAGAATCTCTCTGAAATAGCAGAACAGGGGTTCATACTATGTTGTATTGTGGAAGTTCCTGCTTTCAGGCGGTCGCTGAGCCGACTCCGTCTTGCACAAGTCCGAAGGTAAACGATAGACCCTGTGTGGAAATGTTCGAAGAAAAGCAGTTAATGGCGGTGCAGAGTATGTTAAGGTGAGACTAATAGTCAGATTTACTTGCTGCGCAAGGAATGAGGCCATCTTCTTTTTTCAATGAAATCGTGTTCTGCTCACACACTTTACCTTTTGACGATTCCTCTTGAATGCTAGTGCTGGGTGGATTTTCTACCTCAACAGCTAATCTCTATTTCCTGATTGTAGTTGTGGCCATCAAATTCTGCTCTGAGTATGGAAGGATCTCATAAGTGAGGCGGAGACTTTGAATTAAGTGGACCACTTCTAAGTGGCTCTTTCGGCAACAAAACTGCCGCCTTTGATGATTCTGGTTGCCTGGGCTGCACATGCTCCTCGAATATCACGGAGAAGCAGATCCGTCCAGCTGATCCGTTCCCGTCAATTTAGGATTGAGTCAATCTATTTGGCTTTATTGGCGAGACGAAATGGCCTCGTTGGAATTGCGACAGAATATAGTTCAGATCGGACAGGCAGTCTGATAGGTTGTGGTGAAGGGGTGATCTCGGTGGGAGATGTGGTAGTATGCTATCTGGTGCACCGTGGTAGTATCTATCTGGCGTACGTTTTAATTCGGGCGAGACCACGCGCTGAGCATCTAATGGAATAGCTACGGAATAGCATTTCTCAGCCATACTCTCCTCGTCATTACGGACTGTTGGGGCGTATCAGCCGGTAGGAGTAGCACCGCACACTGTTTGAAGCCGTTCTCAGCCTTTTCGTTGAAACGCGTATGCGACTAAAAGTGGTAGAAAACGAGTAATACGAAGGATATAATGCTGTCATGTCATTTTGCTCGCTTCACAACTGGTGCAGAAAGACTTTGACACCGCGGAAAACGCAACCGCACTGACCCCCCCGACAGTACAGTCCGTAATGATGAGGAGAGTATGTATGGGTTAACGTATCGGTCAGGTGCTCATTAAAGGATTGCACCGGCAGTCCTGGTGGCAAATTTCAGAACATGTACAGAGTAGTACATGACAGTCGTTTACTGGAGTGGACTGCTCGATTGGTTCGTAGTATGCGTGGATGGTAGGATAGAGTGCTGCCTGAATGAAGGCATGCCTCCACTTCGGAGGAGGTCACCGCTTTGAGTACTTAATGGTATACGTACGGGTCATATTCTATGTCTCAATTATATCTATGGACTACAGTATCAGTCATAAGGGATTCACCTGTAGGGACTCATGAGGGATTCACCTGTAGGCTCTGCTGGCGAAATCAGAGCAGGGTATCGTACAGTCATCAACGAAGTCCGGCAATGGCGTCACTTGTGCTTAGCAGGGTCCTTGGATGCGATCGCGCTGCAATTTCACTTCGACATTTCTTTCTGCACTTTGGACGTGCGCTGTACAGTCTTTTTCGCACAGTGGTTCACCCTCAAGTGAAGTCTATCAAGGACTGTTGGTGGTGCTTCAGCATTCATCTTCATGAATAAGTCAGTTGGCCGTAGCTTTTCGTTTTTTGAGCTTCATTAGTTACGGCGTTCAAATTTCAAAGCGTTCGATCGGTTTGAGATCAGGCGACATCATTGGGTTGGGGTTTTAGTCTGAGTCCGCACGACCCCCCCCCCTCCGGCCCTCTGTCCCCTTCTCATCGAATCGAGCGTTCGAGCGAGGGGGGGGGGGGTGAGCCAGCCACATCGTGAACAGGAGAAGCCGCAAGACAACCTTTCCCTCCCCTCCCTTCTACCGATTCTCAGATTTTCGAAAAGAAAAGTCAACCCCACCCCTAGAAAGGCCAAAAAGTAAATACGACCCCTCCTTCTTATAACATCCGTGAAGCGGAGAAAAATCAACTATCAAAATAAACTTTTCTTAGCCCAAATACGACCCTCCTCTCCTGGCGCCAAATACGCACCTGTCGGGAGGTTTCCCAAAACGATGTGCCCTGTTTTGAGATGCGGTGTTTTGCAGTTCACTTACAAGAGCGCTCCTCAACTATCACATGTGGGATAAGCTTATGAACAGCAACCTTGCTCGTCGTATATATTTCTCCTTGAAGTAGCATCTTTCAGCGCCTACCGTGATTAGTAAATAATCTAGTCTTTTAATTGCTGAGGATTTGAAGCTCGTGCTCTGAGGATTTGGCGCGGGTCCTCACCAAGCTAGAACTTCGTGGGAACTTTTGCGTTCTCGTATGGTCAAGGTAGGCCATATCCTTGTAGCTTCCCCTTCCGTAAGGATTCCGCTGTGATTAATCAGCATTAGAGGAGGCAGGGAGCCGAGAGAGGTTAAGAGTGTATGGCTCATGTCCGCACTCTAAGGCACGATCATTCCCTGCCAAGGCACAAACCGCCTTTGAAATAACTGGAAAAATGGTGACGACATCAGTGCCACGCCCAGACTAATAGGCAGGTATCGTCACTGATGGGAAACCTGTCACAAACCATTGACAAGTCTGCCAGCAGATCAGTGTTAATGCAGGATGTCACCCGGAATGACGCGCCGAGCCTCGTCCACGTTCTGTGGTCAGTCTGCGAGGATGCTGCAGGGTGAACGACCTCAGCAAGGAAAGCTAGCTAGTTCGAATTAGGGCACTGAACGTGGCGTCTCGTTAAAAGGAAGTCTCGAGGGAATGCCGATTCTCGTCCCAGAAATATTCAAAGTCCTATGCCTTCAGGAAGCGCGTTAGAAAGAGGCGAAGGCCTGCAAGGTTGGGGAGGGATCACTCTTTCTACAATGGAGGGGACACAATTGAAGTGAATGCCATGGCAGGCGATACAGTGGATCGGAACGTGTGACGACGTCTACCAAGAGCCGGCGTACCCTACGACGACGTGGAACTAATGCTAGAGAGAAGAAGAAAATCCTTGCAACACGTTTTGCTGGACCGCAGTCATTGGTGATTTCTGTCCCTTTTGACTATATCAACTTGTTGCTTGATTCCTGCCACCCTGCAATCGCACCATGAGCTGTTGAGATATTACGTGCATTGTTGTGCTTGTGTGTTTATCTCTTGTTTATCTTCTACAATAGTGTCTTATTCATTTTTTCCATTTTTCTGTGCTTTCATAATAATTTTCAGGCAGGATATCTTGATGAGAGACGTCGAATAGCCCGTCTTTGTTGGAAACTGCGTACAATGAGTACGGAATGCGTACATGAAGTCCCCTGCAGCACACCATCGGCATTCAGTCCTTTGCAGAGAGCTAAGGATGAAGAATCCGAAGAGAGTGCTTGTTTGTCATAGTTCGAGTTAAATCTTGGAAGCTCATGTTCCTGGACAACACTTGCCAATAGTGGGAAATTCGAGCTATTGACGATACCTTCATTGTATCAAAGTAGATGGCCATCCATCGTCCATGTACATTCCTTGTTTCAGGGTGTTGCGTGAGCGTTGTGAGCTGGAAGAAGCCGCACGAGCCGCCTTAATCACGGAAATTGTTCGTCTAAGGAATGACTTGTGCCAATCTTCGAGCCAAAATTGAGCATTGTGGTCAGCTTCAGGTATCCGCCAGCACGAGGTTCTGATCAGGCATAACGTTCGCATTCATAAATAACGTAGCCTAGATCATTTTAATCAGTTAGGGCTTTCTGTGATTTTGACAACGTACCGGTGACATCGATCAGTTAGATTGCAGGGTACTGCTTTTCACATAGGACTTGTGTATTTTCTTGTTAGGAAGTACTAATGCTCTGGTTACGTTCGTTAACGTGTGCTTGTCCCTACGCACCTGGTCTGTAATGTTTTGTGATGTCTGTAAATACACTTTTTTTAGGGTGACAAATGCGCGGACGTAGGGACCTAGATAGTCAAAAACATGCAAATGCATGAATCAAAAAAAGATAAATATCAAAATGATTGTAATTGTTAACTATGCTTGCGATGGGCCTGTACATAGCTTGCGGGGCCTAGTTTATGTATGTCCTGGCTGTGCTTGTATCTCCTAGTGCCTGCTACCGAAAAATCACCAGCGGAAACAACTCTTTTCTGGAGCGAATGAATTCGATTTCCGGACCATGCGTGTTATAGGGCCTAATTCCTGCCGCCCCCAATTTCGAGTTGCCCGCAGTAAGCATCCCTAAATCGTGTCTAGGAAAAGGTGTGTGTGTAATCGGCATTCCTTCCCCCTCCCCATTCGTGTGCCAGCTTTTGTTGTTTGCTTATCGGTCTGTGAAATACTAAGGGTCCACTCCATTAGAATGCAATTGTCTTCTCTGTCTCTGCTGTCTTTATTGCCTCGACAACGTCTTGTGGCCACTATTACTTCGCACGTTTCAACTTTTCCTATAGGTACTCTTGTTCAGTGTTCTCCAGGTCACTCCGCCGCTTGGGAAGAGTTTTGCTTAGGAAAGAGTCTCAACATTTCGCGGATTACCCCTTTCAGGAGGTTAAGGTGTGTAACCCGAGTTTTCTGCTGGTTGTCTATCAGTGCTTCATCCATTTTTTTATTCCTGGTAGCTGAGCTTTTTAGTTTACTAATTTTGAACTAATCGAATTTTCACATAATTGCTAATAGAATTCTGAAGTTCTATCTCTCCGAGTGAATATTTTTTGTTTCGAAAATCTATACGAAGGGAGATTATTGATCTAGTTGTGGGCTGTTTCTATCTGTGGTATAAATTTTCACTTTTCTTGTTCATCTCTCACCCTCGTGTGGTTCTCCTTGAGGTACCTCATGCATCTTTAACATACCGTCAACAATAATATTATCGATCGCATTACCTCTAGTGGTCATCTTTTCGCTCCAGAGTGATGTCTTTCAATAAGCCGAAGAAGAAGATCCAGCTTTAGAAGACGTGTCGATGATGAAGCCAGCGATGACGGTTGGTTGCGTTTTTGTGACAGCTTCTAGATTGATTTTCACTGCTTCAGTTACTGGAGAAGTGAATATGTGCGAAGTGTTGATGCTCAAACATTTAAGGACGAGCGCGGGCTGCAACGTACTGCAGTCAGGGCAGGCCATTACATTGGTGTAAATTCCTTGTTTTGAGCCGGTGAAAAGGAGCTACCAAAATTTTACAAGTTTAAAGCGTAAAGGGAGAGATGAGTGTGGTCGATAGCAGTGACCCGTTCCGAATGTTCGTCACTTTAAACTGCGTCGGCCATGTGGTAGTGGACGAGGAGTGCTGTTTTCACGACTGTTGTCGTCTCTCCAACGTGTACCACAATCTGCCGTACTTTGCCCAAAGAGTTATTTTGGCCCTAGGTCGAATAGAGTCGCAAAGCAACCTTGACTCACCCCTCAATAGATAGTAGACGTTGGCGTGAGCGCTATTTCATTTCACATTCCAATAACTTCCAATCGCCAAAAAAAAAGTGCAAGCTCAATCGCGCGCTTTTTAATAGTTTTACATACAATTTTTCAGTTCCACATGAAAACTTTGTTTGCCCGAACCAAGTAGGGGCTAAAATGCTGTTCTGAAAAACAAAGTTTGTTGATTAGATTCGTTATCGGGACAGAATTTTGAAGATTATTGCGATACGGCATGCCGCTGCCACTTGATATTATACCTGTTTTTGATTTTTGAAGTTTCTAGTGCTTTGCGATCCAGCTTTGGAAGAAGATCACATTTGTCTGAGTGTTCGCTCTTTTCTTCCATTTCTTTTTTAAAATTCTAAAAAAACCTGTGTTATTCCATTGAGAACTTTGAAAACCGGTCCAATATCAGAGTGGCAGCGGCATGCTGCATCGCAATAATCTTCAAAATTCTGTCCCGGTAACGAATCTCATCAACAAACTTTATTTTTCGGAATAGCATTTCAAGGCATACTTGATCTGAGCAAACAAGTTTTTCATGTGGCAATTTAAAATTGTATATAACCTATTCAAAAAAGGCGCGCGACTCGGGCTTGTTCCGTTTTTTTTTTCCCGCGACTGTAAGAATACAGTACATGCGTTTTTCTCTAACAACAACATCCTAATTGTACGGCAGAAGTTCTTCGGATTGTTCGGAGAAGTTCAAATCTCACAGTTTAGCAGTATCATTCGCTTCGTGTAACAATCATGTCTCTCAAAAAATTTAGAGGACACTCGTCGAATAAATGATATCAGAGAACTGCCAAAAAGCACGAGAGAAGAAAAATGGGCTCACAGAAATCGAGTGTGCGGTTGGGAAGGAAAAGGTGTCTCATTCGGCGTCCATTTTAACATGCTAACTGCCTTTATAGCCCTTGAGTTTGTTTTTGCAGGCGTGCAGGCTGGATGATTGCCAGATGGCCGGCGTACTATGGCATTGACGGGTAAGCAGGAAAGCTCGTATAGAAGCTGCTGGATAGAGGCGGGATAAGGTGAGATTCACTTTTTACAACAACACTCTCAATAAAATCGAATAAAAGCGAACCCTCGAGCAGTCGTTTTCCTAAATAAAAATCCAGTCAGTTTGCCCATTCTACCTGTTACTGTCTGCTTGCTCTGCAAATTGAGCGATTTGACAATTTTCACGTTTTACCAGTTGAGAGATTCCATTATCGGGCGGCATGAAAAGTTGTACGCCACTCTGAACAAAATTCTCGAACAAAGTTAGCTTGAAAGAAATCAAACTACTTTCCCAACATTTTCTGACCCATAGTACGGTAGGCTCTTGAAGGTTTCGAGTCATGCGCTTACAGTGGCCGTTTACAGTCTAAAGCTTTCGGAGTTCTCTGAGGTTCACCCTACTATTCAAACTGTTTCTATATCATTAGCTTGCTGTGGATGGTCACTGTTGTGGAATAAAGCAGGGCACCCGCGTTGTGTTCAAGAACGATAGGCACGATGGAATCATCACGCCCCGGTGTCTCGTTGGTATCAAAGCTTTACAGCTTAAGGCATTTCATGATGGAATAGAAACGTTCTGGGCGACCATTCGTCCAAAGCGTTGGCAGGCACAGAGGAGCGCAGCCATGCGTTAGTACAAAGTTTCAAACGTGCCATATGACACCTGGCAGCATCTCCACGATCATCGATTGGTCCTGTAAATCCCCCCTCCGATAAAGATCTCAAGAGGTACACTTCTCTGTCAGGAAAGTTCAGTAATCGCTTGATGAAGTTTTTATATGTTATGGTTGCGCGTTTTAGCGCGCAATCGCGTTCTGAAGTTATTCACAAGAATGCTGAGTTGTGAGCAAAAGTCGTGCCCCAGACGGGAGTCGAACCCGCACCTCACGCTTTCCGGGCGAGCCGTTACGCCCCAGAGCCGATTTTACGCACTCACCCGTTTACTTTGTGAGCCGATGGAGTGCCTGATAGGATATGGCATAAAAGCCGTTGAGCTGCAGAGAGTAAAATCGGCCCTGGTGGCGTAACGGCTCGCTCGGAAAAGCTGAGGTGCGGGTTCAGACGGCTCGCTGGGGCACGGCTTTTTGCTCAACAACTCGGCATTCTTGTGATCGTGATGAGTTTCTTCTAAGTCCAACTCAACAGAAGCGACTCTTACGAAGATGGCTGGCTTTTAACGAGAGTCGGGGTTTCCACGACGCACTACACACGTCTCCAATCGCGCTCCTACGCAGCTCTGTCGCTACGCTAGGCGCCTGGTGGGGAGAGGAGTTTGCGTCGTCCTCAAGCATTTAATTTACAAGCAATTTTGAGATTCTGGATACCTGTGTGATCCCAAACTTAAAAATCTTGAAAAGGCTAGCAGTAAGCTGTTGCTGCTGCTGCATGAATAACGAGTGGGGATAATGATGCTGAAACTATTTTTGGCAACTTGACTATAGCATCCTGTGGTCAGGAAATTTAGCGAATACTGACGTACATATTTCGCGAAGTTTTGTGATATGAGTAGACAGTGTTAGATGCACTCAAAAAATTATGAAACAGTTATGGAAAGGAAAGTGCACACCAAAGATTTAGCCGACGGTTAAGCAATGCTTACAAATAGCAATGGGGAAATTTTAAAAGCAGTAGCGCAACTAATTTGTTATGTACTTTGTTACGTGCAACCCTTCAACATAATAAACGTGAAGATAAAAATTTGTATGCTCTCTTGAGAAGAGACGTCCTCTCATGGAAGGTAAACTTTATCTTACCTTGCAAACGTCAACCTCCTATGTTGATCAAAAGCGTACATTTTCTTCTGCTTATCATGTTTCTGCTCTACAGCCACAAGTGAGACGGTCCTCTTCGAGAGTTCTGTTACCAATCTGGTTTGCTTCAGCGGCAGCAGTTTTTCAAGCTTTCATATGATACTGGCAATTCAGAGAGCAGTTCGAGAAGGAGACAATGCTGCGCGATGAACACCGAAGAGTTGAGGAAATTCATTGATCAGGCTTTAGCGAGAGTGAAACTAGCAGTGCAGAGAATCAACAGCCAAAATACACCGATGGATGTGAGACATTTAATGATTGTTCTTAAAAGCGAATCTTTCTAAAAGGCCGGGACTGATGCCGTTTGGACGCGAGCTCACTTTTGGCTGTCGGCTCATTTATGAAGTGCCTAGATCACCACAAATTCGCAGAAAACTTGTATACGGGGGTAATTAAGTATCCTGGGGGCGAACAATGACATTTATCCTGGCGCTGGCGATAGTGGAGGACGTTACGATTTATGGGCTCAGCCTCAGCAGAGCGTAGATAAGGCGTATGTGTGTCCATTAGCCGCTAGCGTCAGTAAGTGAGGGCTCATATAATTTGTAATCAGGATTCGTAATTATAATGCTGTCCGCGGAGCCTCATTGTAATCTGAACATGAAAACACGTGAAAGAGGCGCCAAAAATTATTGCAAAAAAACTCCAAAGATGCGAAAGAATTCCAAAAGTTCTTGCAAAAAAACTTTTTGTTTCTATATACTTCTTCGAATATTTCGCGTGCCTAGCCACCTTCCTCAAGCGATCTGAATACTTATATTTTAAGTCCTCTTGCAACCCGAATCCGGCATCCTTGTCTTCAGTGGCGTGCCCGAACTGGAATATGACCTGGTCTTCTGCCTCCCAATATTAGCCTCGCCGGCTCTTTGCTCAAAAGCTGCGACTCTAGTGTTGACTCGCTTACTCCTACCCGTGATCCTCCCTTGAATAGTGAGGATGGACTGGTGAGCGTCTCTGCTATCATTGATATCACTGACGCTCATACCTTATTCATTACCGTAGTCAGTGAATCAATTGCAGCGCATCACGTAGCCTACATCCCTAACTAATCATTTTCGGAGATGAGCCTTTTTATTTCCAGTGCTTCTAATAGTTTTCTTTCACTGTATTTTCTACTGGAACGGTTCGTAATGACTGTAATGGTTGATTGCGAGAGACCTTGCGTTGTATATGCATCGGTGGCGCTGCGCGTGCTTTGAGAGACTGTTATCCGGGTATGAAGCTGGATTGTTTAGGGCCCTGCGGGGGTTAATTATCGTTTGAAGACTGCCTTTTTGTCTCTCCGATATAGTTTTTTGCCCGCATCCCTTGGCATTTTCTATCAAATACCACCGATTATCTCGAAGTTGGCCATATTTTTCCTCTGTATTATACAGCTGCGTAAAGAAACTATTAGAAGCACTGGAAATAAAAAGGCTCTCTCCGCAAATGTAGTAGGATGACGCTACGTTGATGCGCCTGCATGCATTCAACTGACTTACTGTATATGATAATGGTGCTTGAGCGGTCAGTGGATGATCATTTATGCGAGACGCTCACCATGTCCATCCTCACTATTTAAGGTAGGATTCACGGTTTAGGGTCGCAGTCAAACTAGAGTCGCACTTGTTGCCAAGGCAGCGGCGGAGGCTATATTGGAGGCAGAAGACCAGGTCAGATTTCCAGTTCGCGCCAACCACTGAAGACAAGATCCGGGATTCGGGTTGCAGAGGCACTAACTATAGTATTTCAGCTATCGCTTGAGGAAGGCTGCTAGGCCACCGAAATATTCGGAAGGAAGTATTAGAAACAAAAATTTTTTGCGAAGAACTTTTGATTCTTTTGAGTCTTTTGAGTTTTTTTGCCAATAAATTTTTTTTGGACGCTCTTCTCACGTGTTTCAATGTAAATCAGGATTGTTAAATTTACCCTCTTGTACAAAGTTTTTAGCGGTTTTTGGTGAACTAGCGACTTCATAATGAGTCGCATGCCAAACAGTGGAGCGCGTTCAAACGACTTTAGCCGGGCGATCGCGCACCAATTACTGGAGGCGGAGCGGGCGTCCAGAGTCTTTGTGGAAGCGTGCAGAGGTCACACCCCAATCAGGCCTCCCACCTGTAATCTCTCTCTCTCTCTGACAACACCTCCCGTCCCCACGTCGCTGCCCAGTGCTTTCAATTCCTATTCCTTCAGTAGGTGAAAATCCTAAAATCCAGAATTCGCAAACTGTAAACGCTTGAGTAGTCGTACTTCTTTTGAGTGTCTGAGGAGCGTATTACACAGAGGGTGAGCACCCCTTTTCGGGCAGCTGAAAGCTCTGGCTGATCCCTTTGTAGACGTTTTAAGGTCATTTTTATGAAAGCAGGTTTTGTCTACAAAAGGTCGAAGATAGCACGCTTTCAGAGTATCGGAATTGTAGCTGATGAGGAGCAGCAAGCCAAGCCTCAAAGGCTATCCCGAAGTAGGCTAGCATGAACTTCTTTCGGAGCCACATGCTGGCGGTCTATCCCTGAGTTGATCTTTGGCATCAAGTAATATTTTGACTTCAAAATGGAAGAATCCCGTGTCTCAGATATTGTGAAATATTGCGGTTTTTCAGCGCTCGCCATCTCAGAATCATACTGAGAAACAGAAAGAATTGAAGAGTGAGCCTATTAGAGCAGGCCGTTGTGGAAAGGCCTCGAAACGCAGACGTCGAATCTGTTTCGGAAACCAACGGAGAAGTAAGTCGATTACATTTTTTCTCGCGGAGTTTTCACTTCGAGGATTAGAAGTAATTTTCCAGGAAACCCGTTGCTTGAAGCGCCGTTTGCTCTTGAGAGCACTCTAAACAGCCATCTTTTGTACATACACAATCCATGCTGTTTGAATAATACTCATTTTTGGTTATTGCAAAGCGTAACACAAGCAATACTATAAGCCTCATAAAAAAGTGTTACAACTGAAATGAAAATCATAACATTTATACTTCCGATTACAACACACGGCATACCCCTCTCACTACTCATAATACACCATAAGCGAATGCATGCAGCCACCTTCCTTCCGTATTTTTTTTTCAAGTCGAATTGACAGTTTCATCAAAAAACCTTTTCTGTAGCAGTTTTTTTTTCTTTTACAAGTGTGTTGCCCTTTCAGGTTGTTCTTGTTTTGCACGATCGTCCTGCAGCAGATTTGAAAGCGACCTTCTAACGTCGCTTGAACGAGAGGAGTACCCTAGTCCTTGCCAACGGGGAACCTGTTAAAGACAGCTCCCGCCGGGTAAAAGTTTCATGGTATTTGCTTTTCAATTATGCGAAACAGTAGCTGATAAGTAATTCCTCAAAAGACAGAAAAAAGCAAAAAGAGTCGCTCGAGCAACACGTAAACCAAAACTCGCTCCGTACAGTCACACTCCTGCAGGTCTCTTGTGCAACCCTGGCCCACAAACCCCTTATCACATCTTCTCACAGTGAGATATCATTCAGTGCAAAGAATAAAGTACCGAAAAACAGCAAACACCACCGGAAGAAAAAACTCGAAAAGGAAAGAGAAACTCTAAAACACAGCGTTCGATTTTCAAGGATGTACGTAGTAGCGTCGTCTTTTTAGTGTACGTTAGCTGCGTATTTGCACCCGAAAAATCGGGTCGCTGTTGAGTTTTTACGCCTATTCCACCTTGCGAGACGGATTGGAGTTGACTGTATGTCTTCCAATTAATAAAATGTTACATGAAGGGAATAGAATTATCATGGGCCTGAGGCGCGTGTCAGCAAAAAAGGACAGTATTCCGATTAATGCCGGCCGCCCCAAACAAAGCAACAATCTGGAGCGGCCCTCCTTCGGAGGACATCTGTGCAAGGTAGGCGCCCTTCAAACTGAGTCTGACATTAGACTAGAACTTTCAGCGACTGCTGCACGCCTCCTTCGCTTGCCCTGGGAGGATCGACCAGAAGTGTGGACAGTCTCTAGCTGGGGCTGTATGTAGCGCGGAGGGCTTGCTTCTTTCAAACTAACTTAGGAGATCGCTACGTTAGAGCAGTGTTCGACGATAATTGTGTTCTGCCAGAAAACGGAGGCGGAGGGCCACTCAATAGTATTGTACGTCAGTTAAAGACAAAACGAGACAAGTGGCCAATACGCCAACCAAAAAACCATCATTACGACCAGCTCCCTTTCAGGTACTGACGAGTCCAACGCTGAGATTAATTTTTATCGCTGCGTGCAGAAGATCAAGGGAAAATATCAGAGCTGCCCTCTAAGTAAATATTAAACACAGCTTATTGCCAGTGCGATAGGTAAGCTTCACGACTTAACTCGTCGAGTTTGGTGTCTTCAAGTATACAGTCTGCGATTAGATTATCAAATGATCATTTTGAACGGAATGGCGTCGAAAAGTCGCTGGATAAGTCTGAAAAGCGCATAAAATGAATAGAATGTCCAAAAACTAATACAAATAAACATGGGCAGTGCGCTACTTGCTAAAAACCAATCTTCCTGTG